CGTGAAATCCACATATCTGAAGCTTCAGGATATGAAGCTTCTGAGCTGCGATCCTCTTCCCAGCGGGGATGTTAATGCATGCGGCCCTAAGTGGGCGTGCCACACCTCACGCTTGACCTTGCTTAGGACGAAGGGGCACGGTTCACACTCACAATCTGGATTACTGAGCCCCTTGAAGACCCTGCAACGAATTTTTTCATTACAGAAGTTGAATAGTTACTCTATTCAATTTGAACAAAGAGTCAGAGAACTTGAAACGCCCCTTAAAACAAAAATTAGCTGTTTGCGTTTTTAATGTTACGTTAAAAAAATCTTTCTTTTTTAGAAAAATTTTCATTTCTTGGGTCGACTGATGTGGGACCTAAAACGGATAGCGACGGCTTACTGCGGCTGACGCTAATGAAGATTGCTGGCGGTGGCTACGGCCTGTTAGCCAGCTTAGAGGCGGTATGAAGGCACTTTACGATTCGGATCTGTGCATGTATGCAATGTCTGCGTTTTGACCCACTAGAAAATGACAGCATAAGTTAATGAGGTGAAAGATTATTAAGAAAATCATTTTCGAAAAGTAATATTCGCCGAAAAATTTTAAATAATGCTAACCTGAGATGGACGGACGTTTTCCGTATGCACGGCAGCAATATTGCGAAGAATTTGATCAGGCAGTTGGATTTGAATAACTAAAACCGATGTTTAAAAGTGGCTCAGGTGGAAATCTAACGCAAACCTGGAAGATCCTTATTGCTTGATGGAGTTGTGACAACATCTGCCGGAGCAACGAAGGCGGAGAACAGGAACAGCATGGAGTGTAGCATAGTTGATCGGTATTCCCACTAATTAGAATTGTCGGTACGTAAACAAGGATTTATTCTAGAATTCAACCACGAGTGACTTAATATGCAAAAATAAATAGCTTCTACATTATTTCTCCAAGCATCTCAGACATTGCGGAAAGGAGGTGGGAGTAGAGAGAGGTACAGGTTAGATATCATTGAGCTGACCAATGGCGAAGTGGATGAAGCGGACAGGTGAATCCAGTGGACAACCATTTCGCTATTGGTCAATTCATCATTTGACCAGGGACAAGTGGATCAAATACGGCACGTGTTTGAAGAAGAAAATGCATATTTTGCTGACTTAAAGGCAGCGTCTGGACAGATCTGAAATTGTAGCGTACAGTGGTTCCCGCCCTGACAGCTTTCGCTCAAGTGGCAGTGGCACTGCCACTGACTCGTACAGTGGCATTGCACCACTTGTTTTTGAGCTTGTCGTTATACT